GCGGATCTGGATCGAGTAGCGGGTAGTTACCGGTGACGCCCCTCTGCTCACCCCTTTACCAGTGCTCGCCTGCGGTGAAGAGATCCTAGCTGGGTCTGTTGAGTGTGTCACGGGGGATGCCCGGAACACTCTCAGACATCTCCTTTTTTCCTTTTTTTTTTTCTACACAGCTTTTAGATGACGGAGAGAAGATTTTTGGTAAGTATTAGGTAAGTACCGCATTGCTTCACGTTATAATTAACTCTATTTTCTTTCCTTTTCTTCTCTCCCCTTTTTTTTCCACTGGTGGGTATGCTGGGTGATCGGATCCAATGGGACTCTGGTGGAGCTGTGGATCGAGTTTGAGGGACTGATTCGGTAATTACTTAGTTGCTTGTGAAGGATCTGTCCCCTGAAGCTGGTTAGAGATGAATGGTGAGTTTTGCTGCTTGGCATGCCGATTGGAAGCAATAGTCTTATCTATCCATTAATAATCGTAGTATGAATATTATCGTATTTGTATATAATAATAATTTACTATTTGGTTAAAAAAAAAAAGAGATATCAAAGTTATTAACGTAATATAATTGCGTGCAGCAGATATGTAATAAACCATGTGTTGTATTAAAAAGTCAAATAAGTTGACGTGCAAGATATATTACATTAATCTATTCGTGCCGTGCTATTATCGACAAACTCAACAAAGTGGAGTACAGAAACATACTCTTTGATTGTAATTAGCTGTTGTTTGTTGTAATAAAAACAAACTTTTTGATATGTTGTATCTTGGGTGAAAACTGGATTATTCGAGATATGTTATGAATAGTCAATCACGAAACTACAAAATGATCTGTTAAAAAACGTGTTCTATCTCGCCTTGCAGTTGGTATAACAATACAGTCATGTGATTGGAAAGTTTGACATTTTTTAGAACCTTTATATTTAGATATTCTTCCACCTCAACCCTGATGGAGACCAAGTCTAGCTCAAAGCACACTGAACCAAAACAACGCCGAAAAGTAGTCTTTGTAGATCCAGATGACTCGGAAGTTCCATACTGGTGGCCTGCCTTGGTGTGTCATTAAGATCCGAAATTGTCTCTGCCCTTTTGTTATGACATTTTGTTGAGCATATCCCTTATTATAGGTAGTCCCACGCAAAGAAATAGATGCCTTTAAAGAAAAAGTAGATTACTTTACAAAATATCCTGGTGAGAGGGAAAAGCTGGTATGTTATTTTGAAGACGGTTCATATTCTATAGTACCAGAGGAAGCTCTCCTCCCCTTTGACACTTCGATTCCGCCGTTTACAACGTACGTTCAAGGACCGAATTCAGATTTATTTCTGAGAGATAAGGCGGTTATGGATGCGATAGCGTACTTTGATAATGGTGTTGTTCCGCAAGTCTTTAAATGGCTTAGAGCTGCCGACGAAGCAGAACACTCTGGAAATGGTAATGGTACCAACGAGGACCACAACAATGAGAGAATCAGTACAGGAGCGAAGAAACGGAAAGAGAGCAGTGCTGGATTATCCAAGAAAGACAAGGATGGATTTGGGAATGGGAAAACACACGGATCGTCGAACGTTAGTTTGAATATTGATGGCAATGTAGGAAGCGTCGGATCTGACATTTCCAATAAGAGGGAGGGAGGGCTTAATAGGAGAGAAAGCTTTAGTGGTAATACAAAGAATGGCGCATCCGGATTAAACAAGAAGGTAAAGGCAATTTAAACGCATGTGCGCTTTGGACAGAAAGAAAGCTTAGACTTGAAGCAATTTACCTGAATAAACCACAAACTTCCAATATCCAGCCCGCTCAATCGTCTACTTCCGCGTCACGCTTATCGAAACCGAGACCCAAAGCCAACCATTCAACCACACCCAGACAACTGCCGTACTTGAACTCTTCGTCAAATATTGCTTCAGCCACGTTGAAATCGCCCCCGTTTCCTCCACAACTTAATAACGGGACGCATTTTCATTCTCTACCGTCACCCGGTTCTATATTTTTTCCAAACAGTCCCCGGTCAGATCGCATGATATCAGGACGAGGATTCGGTACATGCGAACAGTGTGGCAGAACTTCGGATGGGGAAATAAGACAGCAGTGTGGTGCTTGCACAGATTTCTTCGAATGGGTTATGTCTGCTGCTGCTGGTGAGATGACTGTCAACGAATGCTTTGCTGAATATGTGGAGAGAAAGAGAAGACCGGTAGAGCTTGTTGGGGAGTCGGTGTTGAGCGAGGTTTTGCCAACTGGGAAGCGTCGAAGATGGCTTGAAAGATGTGGTTTGTGATGATTATTATTGGAACGGTTGTTAGACCGTCAATTCAAGGAGGTTTACTATTAATGCTATTAATGTGTATGATGAATCGAGCAAAGAAAATTGTTTATTACTGAAATTTGCATAGATTTTGTATAGATATTAGATCAACAAATATTTAGCAATCTTGTATTTCACCGTCAACCTTTGGATATATATTTACTCAGTGCTAATGATTCTCTGATTAATCAAGTACCAAACGCTCACAAAGCACTCGCCAAGGGATCACTTTTTTTTTCAATTAAAAATTCTAGTTAACAGTCCTACCAAGACCCAGCTACAACGGATATAGGACTTTTAATTCGGGATTTACACCATTTATCATATTGCACGCGATCTTGTAAATATGCGATGATTGCATTGAGTCTTAGTCTATCCGGACCGACAAGTTGAAACATGTTCCTTGCGCTCGGTCTATATACGTCATTTACATCTACGAAACGCGAGTGGTCACTATACTTAATACTCTGTGCAGTCCAAGTGTGGAACAGAGAATTGTCGATGGCCGAACTAGCAACAACCATGCAACCCGACGAGTTTATTAAAAAATCTCAGTAAATGAGGTCTATTTGGGAATGGATTCCATTCGATTGTATTGATGTTGGAAAATATGTATCTTTTTTTTATTACAACAGATGAGGCAGATGAGTCAAGGTAACTAAACTATTCATGTAGTGACATATATTTCCTCTAGTTGTGTGTTGGCCATCCGGATATTCTTAGCATTGATAAGTGCACTACAAAATGTAAAAATGATGTCATAGCTGTGACGGTCTGTTGAACTGTCAATTTCCTTTTCGAATTTAACGACTTTTCAACCCTTTATTAGTCCAAAAGAACAAATTTACGTGATACTGCTGTCCGTGAAATTTAAATTTTGTGATAAAGGCGTCCGAAACCCAATCGAGAAAATAATAAGGCTTCTAGAATGCCACGATAGAAATTATTATCCGAGTCCGATTAGTATTAGAGTTATCACAGATTAAAGCAGTCAGTGTTCATTTTTGATTACAGTCATTTTGACCCAAAGTGCGCATGTGTCCTTGTTGATCAGCCAAACAGATGAATTCTTTGCAGAGAGTGAGCATGCTGTCATGTTCGCGAAAATGTTGGAAAGTCATTTGACACGTCACATGAAAGAACCCATCCAATCATTGCAGTTCCTGTCTTAGTCCTCTCTCTTCTCTGTTATATACACCTCGGGAACGAAAAAAATCTAATAACCTCCAAAATGCAAGCCAACACAACCATGCTAGCTCAATTTCGCCTGGCACTTCAGGCAGAAGACGGTAACAGGCTAGCACAACTGCTGAATCTATCAGGCGGGCACACAAAGGCTTTGGCAAGAGCACTGGAGAAAGGGCATGTTAGTATCACTTTGCGGTTTGTCAAAAGCTCTTTGATAAATCTTGTAAACCATTTGCTCTTGTAGACCAAGAAAGCGGAAGATGATGCTCGTAAACTTTTGGGCTCCCCCTGGGATGACGTAGTAGTTCAGCATCTGAGAGTGTTGTTGAACAAACAGAGAAGAAACTACGCTGCAGCCTTTGAGGAACAACACACCTTAGTTCAGTATCCTTTTTCTCCAAGCTCGTTACTACAAATTTCTTTTTTAGGCAATATCAATTCCTTAATTCTAGCAAATATGTCAACAGGAGTTTTCTTAGAATATTTAACAATCTTTCCCGTTGGTCTTTACCCGTCTTATATGTAATCAATTGGGATCTACGGTCTCTGGGCATAGAGGTCAGTTCTCTTGCTTCATGCAGAGGTTCATGTTGTAGTCTTGTTATAATTAACAAACTGAATTCATGCTGTAGGCAGATGCGGAATCGGCTAGTCGAGGACAGCCCGGCAAGTGTCTTGAAGTTGCCGCTCGTGCAATCAACAAGTCATTTAGTACATGTATAACGGATAGGTAAGTGCATCATAGAGCATGTAAATCTTTATAGAAAAGAGCAGATTGTCTAACGAGTCTCTTGCTCAAATCTCAAGAGCGTCAATAAGCGCATCACGGAAATGGGGAACATACTATGTTGGAAATCTCTTATTTAAGACATATTTTAAGGTAAAAACTTCAAGATTTAAATTAATACCCGCCGAGAAACTTACTAACACTCTATTTTTATACAGTTGAAACAGCAAAATTTGTGCAAAAACGTGCTGCGAGCAATAAGAGCATCAACAGATTTGCCAGAGCTAAGCCAATTCCCAAAGTCTCATCAAGTTACATTTCATTATTATCAAGGGTTATTATATTTTCTTGAAGCCCAATACAAGCAGGTAATTATGACAAGTCTGGTTCAGGCTAGTCTTCTTGGAAACATGCTCTAATCATAATCTTTATTTTGTGTTAATATAAGGCAGATGAGCATTTTACATCAGCATTTCGAAAGTGCCCTAAACAATTTTACAAAAATAAGGAGTATGCATTGGATATTGTAGTTGATGTCAGTTTTACCAAAAGTACATGTCTTTTAACAAACAGTCTGTGTGATTGTGTGCAGATTGATTCTACGTTATCTCATCCCACTCTGGCTAAGTCAAGGGAAGCTTCCATCATCGTCACTACTGGATGAATATCCGAGTCTAAAGGCTTTGTATTGGCCGTTCATTGATGCTATAAAGACGGGAAATATTAAATCGTTTGACAAGGCGCTTTCTGATAAGGAAAAACGCCTGATAATACAGGGTACTTATTTCAATGTTGAATTAGCAAGAGAAATTGCCAAGCGAGTGTTGTTTAAGAAAGTGTAAGTCGATTCGCGAGCGGATTATACTCTTGTATACTACTGTTTATTAAGGAAACGCTGTTGATTTCTGACTAGTTTGGAATAATAATCTTGTAGTTGGCTAATACATAACAAACAATCCAGAATTCATGTGGGACAGTTTCAAGCTGCTTTAAGGTTTGTTGGCATGGACGTTGAAATGGCAGAAGTGGAATGGTATTTAGCTACTGCGATCGCCAAGGTAAGCCTGCTGTTTTGAGCAAATCACCCAAGTATAAATTTGATTGTAAATTATTGACTATTAAATTTAGGGATATATTAGAGGATATTTATCACATGACAAATTAACTGCTGTATTAAGTGTACAGAATCCATTTCCTCGGCTTGATTAGATAGTGTTGAAGTTGCTTTTGTTAGCGGGTGTTGCGTGTTAGCGCGTGCTGCTTTTATGGACAACATATAGAAAAGTATCATATATATATATAGACACAGGATAATCTACATTCTCTGATAATAACATTACAAAAAGCAAGAGTCTAGTCATTAATGGAGAATAAAGAGTTTTGCAATAAAATTATGTCGTGCAGGATCCTTGGGGGAGGAAGTATCGATTGTTTAAAATCAAAAGTTTGTTATATCAAATAGTAATTTTGATTACCACTGCAAACCCTCAAAAGTGAAAGTTTTTTGCTGTTAATGAAATTATATCTTTGCAATTCTAAATACGACAATCGTTTTTTTTAAAACGTTAACCGTCAAAGATTTTCTGAAATCCGTTATATCACACGTATAAACGTATGATCGAGGGTTTGTTTTCATAATGTGTTCCGTGGATTGATACCTTGTGCTAATAATTAGAGAAAGATAATAAACGGATTTGTCCACACGTGAAGAAAAGCTATGTTTAGTTGGATTTTTTAATATGTACAAGATGGCTGTAAATCGCTTGAATTGCCCATATCCAACATTACTATTACCGACACTTTTTTATACCCGCTAGTATTGAACCAACCTCCAAGTTTCGATAAATTTCAAAGGATAATACTTTTTCTGTTGGGGGTATTTTGAGATGTTGCTCCCTCACCGGTTGCTGGCTGATTCCAAGAGAAATATAATTACGTGCTAATCATTTTTACATCATAATAAAACTGGTAAACAGGTAAAGCTTTAAATCTGTCTAATTCCCGACTAGTCGAAACATTGACCTGTTACATTTAAGTAATTGTTGTTATTCGTTATTATTATTATTATTATTTTGTCCTTCCAGCCGCAAATTACAAATTACAAATTGCTCTTATTGACTTGGTCATCTACCATGACACGTAAAAAGTTTTTTCCAATCAATGAATAAATAAATAAGGCAATTTTTTTGAACTTGCAGTAATTGCTCGAGAATAACCTTCTGCCATAACAAAAGCTTTCATTCTCAGACTAATATAAACGATTCCTCAAATTTACGTTAACCATGCTTTTTGATATTCTCTTGCAAAGTGTGAAAAATACAAAATAATCAAATCGTCCGACAAACATTAAAGTCAAGTCAGACATTATGGATATAATATAATGATAATTTATTATTAGCTGAAAATTTTCAGGATATTAAATTATCCAATAATAGAAAAGTTTATTAAGCTCTGCGAGCACGTTTTATTATTTTCCAACGACTGGTAGAAATTGACCCTTCCTCAAGCGTATAGATAATGTGTTCGAACTGAAACTTACTGTGCACTCTGTTCTAGCTCACGGAAAGTTATCTTAATTGTAGTAACTATTGTATTATTAATGTTGACAGTATAATGACAATATTTATAATTTATAGTACAAAAACTTTTTCGGGTGGCAATTGGCTTTTTTTATTAATGTTCTCAGCCGGATCAAATGCCTTTAGATTTTAATTAAAAAAGGAAATTTGAACTGCTGTTCGATATTTGAATAGAGATTGCGCCTTGGTGTTTACACCTAACGTTGAGTCCAATTTATTATGACAGAAAAATTTTCCTATACGGGAAATTACTGTATTATTTCTGTAATTACACGGTGTTTTTAAATTGTAATTATCTAATGACTTGGTAGCATGATAATAAAATACAAATTTTTTATATGTCTAACCCTTTCTTTAAGGGTTTAAATTTTTTGGTTTATTCGCACTCGACGTTAACCAGGCGGGTATTCGTTCTTGGATGAAACGTTTGTGCGATAAAGTAAAAGACATTTGACTCGACTGGTAGGAATCAAACATAGTGTTTTCATATCGGAATTTTTTGCTTTTGGTTTACTCTGTAAAAGTCGATGTATAATGTATGTGACAAATAATAAGCTGACTAAATAATAAATAAACAATTAATAATACCAAAGAATGGATAAGAAGACTTCATGGCGTGTAAGCCGGTATAAAATCATCAAGTGGAAAACGACCTGTCGATAAATCAAGGGGAAAGCAGACCTTGTCTTTGCGTATAAATTGCGAATTAATAGAAAACGAATAGGTTGAGTAAAATAATAATTAAACAAGTAATAATAAAAAGTCATGACTGGTATGCATCATTTTTATGCATATAATGTAATTATAAGTATAAATAAAAACAGCCGGATAAGATCTGTTATAGTTACGGATTTAAGTACTGACAACGGGTTTAGAAAATAAAGTGCTGAAACAACAACAACAAAAACAATAAACTGCAACAAACGTACGCGTATCAAAAGAGACAGCGACAAAATGTACTTGCTGTTAATGATAGCAATCTTTGTCTATTTTAATGGATAACTACAATCTTGTCCCCAGATTATTTTCCAATGATAACTAAGCTTGTAGTCAATAATATGCTTTAGATAAAAATAAAGATTATTGCAATATATTCCATTCACCCAACCATCCCACCAAAGTATATTAGTCAAGTTTTCATCTCCAAAATATGTGTGTGTTTCGTAGTAGTATCCCGCTGCCCAAGATGGGGACGTAAAATTCGCTAGTACCCAATCAGAATCGAAGTCGATGTCTTCATGCCATTTCGACTGTTGAGTCCAGTCAACCCAGTGAAGGCGTAGTAAAGTTAGAAGAGTAAGAAATCCACGAACAACCATCGATACTAGATGTGTAGGATAACCACCACCACTGTCAGGGGCAATTGCCGCCGTCACATTTGTAAAATTTTTTGTAGTTTTATCGGCAATAACAAGATTCGCCGTAGAAGATTTTACTGATACGGCCAATAATATTATTAAGATCCATATAGCTTGCAATTTACACGCAAACATTGTGGTTTAAATTGATTGCTTACTTGAATAGAAATTGATTTCCATTTTATATTTACGTGTAGACGTACACTCACTGGCAAAAAGTAATTGCCGTGATTTGTCGATCAATAATAGAACATATGAAATCCATTTTTCGAAAATCGCGCGGAGGAATCATCGGATTGGGGTTTCACGCGTCCACGACAATGTAGCTTTGCCAAATTGGCTTCGGTGGGGCTTTTCCGGAACAAGGTTTTTTACCCTCAGCTGTATCTACCGATTCAATAACATTATTCTTAAATCATTCTGAAGCTAATTGACTGTATTTTTCAGAAAACATACTGTTGAGTTTAAACGACTAATGGTAATTAGGTGGCGATATGTAAGTTACACATACATAATCATACAAAAAATGTACCCGTCACCTATTACTGCTACTTTATTGAACTGCGGCTTTATAACGATGGTACATTTAAATGTGTTATTATTTTTTCAAAATTACTACTACTTACATAATAATTACGAGCAATACAGACTTTCCATATGTTTACTATTAATCGACCAGTACAAATCGCTTCGATTTTGCCGATCAATCAGTCAAACCTACGCAAAATCTTTTTTCCGCAAAGACCTCTCTATTGTACATATTATGAAGGTATTTTCGACATATTTAGATTCGTTACCCCTCTGAAAATAACACCTACCACAGTATGAGATTTTTCCATATTTACTAAATAAGTCACAAAAATTTCGAAAAAGACTACTACTACGATAAAATTGATAAAGTGGGAGTACACATGAATTTTCATATGTATAGCATACTCCATATACAACAGTCTATTTGTGATCGCCAATTGTTTCAACACGTGGATTTACAGTCCCCGGAAAAAAATAATGGCGGTGCTTATCAATGCAATTTTTACAAAGATTAATTTTCTTAGTAAAAAATATACCTGGCACATAGCCTACAGTCTTTTCATTTGCTAAATTCTAAACTTTGTTGAATTCTGATGATGATGATCACTATTTTATAGATTCAAAGTACTCTCCATAACGTTCTAGCTGATTCTGCCTACTGTGGAAGTGATCTTATAGTTTTTTTTGGAATACATTCAAAACTGCCCTTGCCGAATATTCGATCTTTATCAAATGTTTTTTTTTTTTTCACAAAAAAATCATAGGCCGGACTGTATGACGGGTGGGAAGAAGTTTCACTCGTTCACTGTGAAGATACGTGTACTTGTGATTTTTTCACAGGAAATGCTCCAGTTTTTAGTAGAAATGTGCGTCATTGCCCTCGACTTTGATAAATTTTCCTTGCGCAAAGACGCCCAGAACGACTTTTTTTTTTCTTCCGTCTAATTGCGCTGATAAACAAATGCTTGCTGTCCCATTTCTGCCAAGAAGCGAGAATTTTTTTACGACTCATTTTCTTCCCAGTCGGTTTCTCGGCAAAGCGCGATAATGAATTTTCATTTTCCCATTTAACTTTCAAAACATCAAATATACTGTAAGAATATTTAAAACAAACAAAACTAATTTTATTAATATTAATGCGATTATTTTGTGTACTCAGCATTGACAGCAGCAATATTAAATACGTTTGTGTCCTCAGCATTGTTATAAACAATGCAACTGCGCCCTATGTAAATTCTAACCTGATTCGCAGTACTATGAACTCCAAAAAGGAAATGGCATAGCATACGTTTGTTTGGCATTTTTCACCAGTAACAACTCGTACACTCGTACCCCGTTTATATCTCCCCATTTGTTTCGCCTCAAAGTGGGGATATAAACGGTTGGGGATATAACCGGGGTGTGATATAACTGGGTAGGGAACTTTTACTGCTCAATCGTAAGTGTAACATGTAAAAACTCTCCATTCTCTTGGCCAAAGACAATAATTGACAGCTAACCAAAGAACGTTAAACTAACTGTTTCAAAATGTCGGGTAAAAAAATCAAAGCGCTTTTCGGCCGTTCCATAGAATTCATTTCGCCCATAGCGAACGTGTTGCCTTTTCCCGGTGTACCGGAACTATTCTCTGTTATTGATCGAATTGTTGTGCTCGTCGACACCGCAAGATGTAATAAAGAAACATTGCCTTACATTAAGGAGTATATGTTGGAGGTGAAGCAGACAATCGATGACAACAAAGATATAATAAACGATGAAGATACTCCAAGTTTGATGAAGGCGCTGAAAAACTGGGAAAGGTTTTTGCTTAAATATACCCGGCCTAAAATGAAAACACTATTGGCTATCATTAATGCTGATCAGGTAAACGATACGAGTCTTTTTTAATATGATGTTTCTGTACAGAAAAACAAGCTGAATTTTCTTTTCCGCCATAAATTTTTTACTTCACAGATAGATCGAAAGATTGGCGGCCTATTTGCCGACCTGGACAGAGCCCTAAATGCTGCTAATCTAAGGGTAAACTTGGAAAACAATAAACGTCTTAAGGAGATATCTGGAACCGTGGAGAAGGTGGATGAACACATATATAATTTGGGTAATAAGGTGGATGCTTTGCAAATTAATGTGCAAGACGCTGTGAAGGACGCTGTGAAGGGCGCTATGAAGGACACTATGAACGATGTGACAGCGAAAGTCAAAGATTCTTTCTTAACTACTGCAGTTATTCTTGGCGCTCGTTTATCAAAGGAACAAATAGACGGATTAAAGATTGAACCAGAACTTGTCAGTCCCGATCAACCTCATGGCGATGGTCGTATAAAAGTTAGATATTGTCTTGGTCTTTATGCTGAAAAAATTAAAATTGCAAAGGTGGACGACAATATTGATAAGTACTGGGTACAGGCCTTCATTAGCTCCAAATTGGATAAGGAATTATTCATGAAAATGTACGTATTTATCATATATTTCCCGTTTTCATTATTTATTTGCTGACGAATATTATCGCTTATCATAGCTACGGCATTTTACTCGACGGAGGATTTTATTACATGATTACAGAGTGGCCAGAAAAGGGAACGCTCTACCAATACCTTAAGGAACACAAAAATATTCCGTGGACACAAAAGATAAAATGGGCATCGCATTTAGCAAGAGCGCTTGCCGTTTGCCACGTTAAACACATTCTGCACCATGACATTCGCAGGTTGGAATCGAGAGGGCGATGCCGAATTAAGTCTTTCTAGTAACGTGATCAACTAACTCGCCTTTCCCCCCCCCCCCCCAAAACTTAGTCATAATGTGGTCGTAGATGAAAACGACAGTGTCAAATTAGCAAACTATCATCTTGCCAGAGGAATGGAAGACAAGACGACTTCAGTTGGTGGAGTGACTGATAGCGTCAGATGGTTATGCCCTGAAAAAGTGAGGGAAGGCACGCTTCCTTATTCTAAGTCAGCCGATGTATACAGGTATGTATGTTTGTAATATCATTGTTGATGGTAGTTACAATATGGTCTCAAACGATTGACAAAATATATTTATTGTCTAAATATGTAGCTTTGGCATGCTTATGTGGGAAATAAGTTCTCACGATGTTCCTTTCTCAGAAAAAAACATTAACGAAGTATATGCCTCAATAAAAAATTCAGATGAGCGGAATGCTCCGCGCCCACCAATAGTTCCCGGTACACCAGGAAAATACGCAAAGATTATGCAGAGATGTTGGAGACAGATTCCCGGAGATCGTCCGACAATGCAATCTGTCGTACGAAAGTTAGAAAAACTAGAAAATGTGTACGATTCGCCAGGGTATGCTACCGATGATGCAGTCTCTAGTAGCGTTACTGAATATGATTCATGCGCTCCTACACACCCAAGCGTAACGATTGATTCAGCGATCAAGTTACACACTCGAAAACGTTTCGGGGAAGCCTTCAATCAATTCAAGATACTGGCTGATCAGGCTGAACCAAGCGCTGAAGCAAACTTTTATGTTGGCCGATATCTTCTCGACCCTAAAATACAGCTCAATAGTAGGGAAGATCCGAATGTAGGAGTAAGCTATTTGGAAGCGGCAGAAGAGTTGGGATGCAATAGGGCAGCTCAATTCCGCGCTCAAGAGAAGATGGCAGCCGCCGCAGCAATACGAAAACGATTACTGGCTGCGGGTGACGATGTAAATGCCGGAATAATTATGGACAGAATGAAGACCGAGTGTTTAGCCGAGTTTCGTGATAGTGCAAAACGCGGTGACCTACGCTGTATGAAAGATCTCGCTGATTATGGAGCAAAGTTGGGTGATGAAGAGAGTTTTAAAGAAGGTCGAACTATGTTGCGCAATGTAATTAACAACTCGAAAGATGACAGAGAAAGAGCGAAAGCACGAGATTTTTTGACGAAGTTGCAAGTACATAATGATAAGTTCTTAAATTAATTAAGACTTGTGAATAACTACATTGTGTCATTTGGCGAGCATTTTATAGCCTGGCGGGCAAAGGATTGCGACTCGTGTGGGTATTTACTACAAACATAGGATATAAATAACGAGGACATGCGCTACAGTTGCAAGAGCTATTTACTGTATATAATATGTACACTAAGCGAACGTTAATAAATACACAAATATTTATTTATTTACATTTTAAGATGCAAAATTTAAATTGATCCCTCTGAGGCATCTGTTAGCTCGCAAGCCATATGATACTTTTTTAGTTTTACAATATGTAATTCTGTATGCTCACCTTTTCACGCTGATATGTTGCGAATCCAATCTCGTTGGAAATATCAATTACGGCCGTTATTAAATAGTTTCCGAATAAAAATTTTTTGCGCGTTATTTTGTTTGCTGTCAACATACAACAATTCAAATATCAACCTGGCCTGGCTGGAGACTTTTTATCCGATGAGCGACATAGCTAAAGAGACGGTCTCTATTATCGTTTATTGTATGCAACACTGTAATTGAGTGAGTATAATGGAGGCATTGACTCGAGATTTCTGGCTGATATATTAACAACCCTGGTTTTTTGAGATCATTGGATTACATGGTGAGACGTTCCGGTAATTGCGGACATTGACTGCAAAATGGCGAGATATCAACCCCATTACAGATGATCTATAATATAGCCTATTCGAGTATGTAGTGTTTGCGCTTTTACATGCATTATTATTATGCGAATCGATATCGAGAGTTATTGTTCCATTATTACGATACACGTGTCATTCAAGATTTAGGCTACGCACCATATTTGGTTAGAAGTACAGTACTTTAAAGACGAGTCCACGCATGTGTGTTAACCATTGATTTTGCTACCAAATAAAGCATTTGTACATATGTTGGTGGGTATTATTAATGTGTATAGAATATCACCTGATGCGATTTTTTATCGGTCATATCATTTGTGATGTGACTGAATTATTGAACGTTATTAAAGAATGCAAAAACTGTTGGGTAATGACAGCAGAAACCAATCGTTATTATTACCACATACTTTTTGCTCCTGAAGAAAATCGTCCATGTTATACTCCAAACCACAATTTTCCAAGTGAACAGATCACTATAGCCTTTAATAGGAAAGGGAAATGTCACTAAATTTAGCTTCGCGTCAATGGTGATTGTCAATTAAGACTGAAACTAAATTATAGGTGACCCATTATCAACTATTATGCACGCTTTCTTCACTTTCTACGTAAAGTACAGATCTCCTTCATCCGGGCATGAGTTACTATAACTCTTTGCCCTTTCTTTCATTAAAGACTCGCTTTTCCTATTTGCGTTAAGCCTTTCACCGTTCACGCACCGTAATTATAAAAATAAACCAATCAATAAACGCCATGTTATAACTGGGTATATTATAATTATCGGTATGACGCGTAAAATTTTTTTGTTGTAATGTGCAGATTATCGGCATAATAACAATTCGTGGGAAAAGACTGCTTTGAACAACTTGGTGGCACCAATAATGTGAGAGCGATGGCAGGCCTCGGTAATTCCTAAAATTTCAAAAGACTTTAAATTCCGACACCATATAACCCCGGATTTATGCCATTTACACTATCACTAACAATAAACAGTGTTAGATCTATGACGTTAAACCGATCACTTTTGCAAAATGAAAAAAAGCTTCTGACTGCATTAGGAGGATAGTGAAATGTATGAAGAACGAATAAGTAAGAGGAAGAGAAAGATAAAACGAATGGAAAGAGAAATTGGAACTATTCAATTATATCACGTCGGTGTAACAACAGTTAAAACATTTGCTAGTGTAACAGCGGTTAAAAGATACTGGCAATGTGATTAGTATTAACGTTAACACAATGAAAACATGACCGATTTAACAGCATCTAATCTTTTTTCCGTCAAGGGCAAGGTTGCCTTGGTGACTGGAGGCGGAACTGGCATTGGATATATGATTGCAAAGGCACTCGTTTGTAATGGTGCCAATGTTTACATAGTATCTCGAAAGATTAAAGTTTTGGAAAAGGGTTTATTTTATTCTTTGATTGTAATCTATTTTTTCTTTGTATTCCCGTATCATTACTCATACAGCCTTTCTTTTCCTCAATTTAAAACAGCCGCATCGAGCTTAAATGAACTTGGCCCTGGCAAGTGTACAGCTCTCCAAGCAAACTTAAAGTCCAAGGCCGCATGTGAGCAAGTGGCTTTAGAACTTGGTGCAAGAGAGGATAAATTGCATATTCTTGTGAACAACTCTGGGGTAGGTTGGGCTGCTAAACTGGAAAATATACCCGAAAGTTCTTGGGATCATGTGAACAAAGTGAATCTGTATGCGGTTTATTATCTTACCATGGCGTAAGTATCTCGAAATTCGGTGTGAACTGAGGGGTAAAGGGGCGAGGGCAAAAATTTATCGTAATGGGGTGGTAGGAATCTGACATGAATTAGGTAATTTTGGTTATCCACAGATGTCTGCCGCTTCTTGTGAAAGCGAATCAAGGTCCAAAGGACCCCGCCAGAGTTCTTATTATTGGTAGCATCGGTGGTATGCAAAAATTGTTTCAAAGATACTTTGAACGAGATATTGGCCGCTCTCAAGTTTCTGATTCAATTTCAACACGCACAGGTCTCTTAACGGAAGATTTTAATCGTCTCGCTAAGCCACCTGCTAATACTATGTCAACTTTATCTTATGCCGTTTCAAAGGCGGCCGTCCATCATTTGGCTACGACGCTAGCTACCCATTTGACGTAAACATTTGGTATTTGTACAATTGCGATTTTCTTGTTTTCTTTGTTGTTATTAATTGCGTGCTCTAATCAGTCCTCGTGGCGTAAATGTGAACGTGATCGCTCCGGGTACATTTCCAACAAAAATCACCGAGAGCCGGGATGACAAACTTGTTAACGAAAGCACGCCGATTGGTATGTTTACTTTGGGGGGAGGAAACTCAGAGTCTGTCTGTTTATTAATTGTTAGTCACCAATGCAGGTCGAATAGGACTTGAATCAGATATGGCAGGTGCTGTCTTGTACCTTTCATCGCCCGCCGGAGCGTTCGTTACCGGTGCTGTACTAGTGTCTGATGGGGGAACAATGCTTTCATCTGTGAATAAAGTTCTCGCTAAGATTTAAAAATATAATTGTGCCTAATTACTACTGGTATCATGATTCGTATAATAATTAAACACCGATTCGGGGAGCCGCGCAAAGTTCTGCTGGACAATGCGGCCACGACCTCAACGTTAAATAGATCTAAATTCGTGTAGTTATGTCGCATCAGAAAGATGGTATATAAGTAAGAAGTTTTTCTTTTCACGTCAGAGAACAATGTTGCTGCTTTTCACTCGATTTGAATGCCAGGATGATTGCGCTTGATATTTTTCATAAATTTATCATATTTCGTCATTGCCGCGGTTGTGTGAATACTGCATAACCAGTGGTTGTTCTCTTTTGACGTCTCTCTCAACTAATAACACTAATAGCGCCTCTCTCCACCGGCTGCCTGTTCGAAGAAATTATCCCGTTCTCAGTTTTGTCTACTAGCACGTGCATTTATAATTATTTGGCACGCAGCAACTAAAACGCTGTTAGGCTTGGCTCTAATATTTACTCGCGTATTTGTTCCGAACGTTCCAAGAAACATGTACCGTCCAGCAAAAACGATCTTGAGGTAATCTCAACCGCAAGGGAAGTAAAATTATAGATTCGGAAATTTCCATCATTATTTTGATACGCGCAGTACTATTAAAAAGCGGCCGGTTACGTTCTAAAAAAAAAGTCGATGCGTAATAATATAAGATCGAACTAACGCAACAATAGAAAAAGGATATAACGAAATTATAGATCAAATAGAAGGCGAGGCATTGCAAGAAGCAAATAATTCTGAACAATATATCACTTCTCAGTCGGGCAACTTCAATTTATAAATAGTATAAAATTTTCGTTACCGGGTTTACCCGACTAGCAATAACAAAACTCTCTCAAAAATTCCCCCTGTTCATTCGAGGGTGGGTTTTTTATTTCCAGATTGTAGATATTAATAATGTGCATAAAATTCAATTTTAAAATTAAACCTTCCAGTAATGAAATTATTCACTATAATAACTGCTAATCTTGTAGAATTTATTACAAGAGAGTGACCAACATTAATTACTGGCTAAAAAGTTAACTTGTGCGTAAAAAGGTAAAAGATAAGCGACTCCACTATATTTTTTTCCCGAGACTGTAGTAATGATTCTAAAACGCGCGCGCGTTTGTCCCGTGACTATGCAACTAAAACCTTATGATTACACGTATTTCTAACAAAAATTAAAGTCGCTAGTCGTTGGAAACAAATATGGTTAAAAGAATAAGATTAGCAATTTTACGGTGGGTGGTTATTGATATATAATAGGAGCAACACGACTTTAATATGTTCGTTGAATCTAACCTTTTGTTGAGAATAGATGTCAAAGTGACTAAACAATAGTGTTTACCAATTCAATAATGTAAAAACAACCATGTTTCTATGCTTAAAATTGTCATTTCAAATGTATTTTTGCTCTGCGTTTAGCAAGTCAAGATGATAAATTCACGGTTACCGCAGCTTTTTTCCTAATAACAGACAATTTGTGGGACCAAATTTGCAAACCAGTTTATATTAACAAAAAAGTATTGTAGGAGAAAAGTTCTTAAAAAGAACTGAATTCTTTGAAACAGTTAATAGCAAGTTTTCCATGTAAAAGGATTTTGTTATCTTATTTTACACTATTACAATTTGTTATCAGAATAACAAATGCTGGCTTGCGATGGCGTACCGGATTTTTTCACCGATTAGGTCATGCAATTTTAAATTTGGTACGCAAAATATTGCCAAAAAGAAATCCGAAACCTATTACAAGCACGTAATCCGTAGGTGAATTACATAATAATAAACATGGCTGATGAAACTCGATATATTACAAAGACCGATTCATTTCGTTTAAATAGGTGGTGCTGTTGTGCATTACCAACTTGTTTGTGGCGATAGATATCTTACAATCTATCCATCTCTAATCTGTTGCTGATGTCATACATTGCCGTGTTGGGGAAAGCGTGTATCGGTTTCTTAGTCTTACCTTCCTTAATAGTCCGAGTTCAAGGAGTCACCTCGATAATAAATCCTTGAAACATTTCCACGCGGAACCGCTTTTTAGTCAATGCATTAGTGCGATATTACAAATGTCTAATAAATTTATGTGATAGGGTTTTCTTTTCCTTTCATGATTGTGCAATTACTTAATACGGTCAAAGTCATGGCCTGCTTATCGTGATTCTTATCAGCATGTGATCCATGAAAAGTACGCAAAAGTTTTATTTTTAAACTCGGCCATGCACTATTTCATAAACATAATGTAACGCTTATTAAGAAGTGTTCAAGGTCCTTGCAAGGTTTTATATCCAATTTAGCGTATTAAAGATATTTGATAATTCTCTGATTGTAACGCATACTTTTATAAAGTCATACGTCTCACCTGCCAAGATGATCTGGAGATGAGCAAGGGTCAGTTTGAAACGATTATATCTCTCCTTGACTATAAATCACGTGTAACTGGTTATTAACCCAGTATTAGTATAGAGTAACCCTATCTAGTCTATGACTCATTTAACATTACCAGCGAACTATGCTAAATCGGTTATTTAAAATCACGCAATTGTTATCCGCATCATTGTGATTCTCAGAAGCAAAGACGTTCTTCGGTTAACATGTATCAATCAGGACAAGCAGATAATAATAAATTTCTTGTTGTATTAAACTAGTTACATTAAAGGCTGATACAAACAGTGGTGGGGAAATGCACATATATATCAATAATTCAAAGATTTATCAGTATCAGTATAATCATGAGACTGATTAAAAGCTGTATAACTAAATAAGCGGTCTAGATGAACTTGATTCATTTAAATTGGGGTGACACACTTGTATGCGTATCGTTATCAATACCGGTTTTAAAACAGGTTTTATAAATAACAAGTCATGCGGTGCGCTTTTTTCGGACATGATAAAATAAAGTTTGGGTTATCACAATAACATACCCGATAAAGTATAACACAAATTCGTCTCAATCGAGTATTGATTTTCAAAGTAACAGGTCATCTGATGGCACACAAGTATCCAAATCTGATTCAAATAGTACGTATTTTTCTCATATTAATATGGCATTTATTAATTAATCTTAATAGCACGAAAAAGAAGGTTTAGATTAAAAGCTATTTGTTCAAAATTACTATTAAGGTAATCGTATGCTGAAACATGTTATCGATAGTTTTGAAGAGACAAAGAAAAAACACATTCGGTCACAACCATAACGATAATTGGTACGCCAAGAATATTGCACGTGTATAGCTATTGTCACATTAACGTAAAAATTACCCTACTTACTATTATTAGAACAGTTGAAGTTTCTTGTTTCCTTGGGAATCTCAAAGGTCGGCTGTTCGATTTAATGACAGAGCGTCAATAGCCCGTCTTTTTTTTATTGGAAAACTTAATCACCAATATATATATGTATTTTTCTTTTTCTTTTTTTGCTTTACTACACATCTAATGTTATTGACTAGCACGAGTAGTAAAAATAAAAAGTTTTTTTTATGTTTATGGCCGAACAAATTACAACCTTGATTTTCCACATATTCGGGCATAAACCTTGACCTGCGACGTTCACCGAATACATACAAAAAAATTATTTCAACCAAAAAAGCACAACCCCACAAACCTCATCATTTCAAATCGCTTATGATTGCGAGCGTTCAAAAACAGCTTATGAAACAATATACAAACGAAGAAAGAATGAAAAGCAAAAGAAAAATAAAAAATAGAAAGAAAAAATAATAAAAGCAAAAATTTTAAAGAACGATTGAAAAAATAAAAAATAAAAAAAAAAGGAATTTTGTACACGGGAAAAAAAATCCAATGGTATAGAAATTCAATCAACTATCTACTCTGTCTTAAAGACCAAGTAGTAGCGTAATAACTTTTAATCGGGTACCACTTCAATAGAAGGATTGCGTGATAAATCATCACTATTACAAAAGCAACTCTTTTTTTTTTTAGTTTCGCTTTTTCTTTTTGTAGTTTGAAAGTATAAACTTTTTTTTCCCGTCGCTTAAATTCGAAGAAGAAAGAGGAAAGGGGGGTTTTGTGCAGGTTATTTGAAGAATATGTATGATAATGAAAATTAAATTGAGAAATTTTTACAAGAAAAAAAAAAAAGATAATTTATGCAATTATGTAGCCTTTTGTGTGGTATAAAATGTCAGAGACGAGATTATTTAAAAAAGTTTACTAAAGTGAAAAGGGAAGAGGAAGGAGGGAAGGAAGAGATTTTATGAAATTCGAAGAAGTACCAAATTACGAACCCGTATAATACCACTACTAACCTAGCCATTAAGTACAACCCCACCACCTTTTACATTAAGTCAGCATTTCCATCGGAAACATCAGCCTTCATTACTCTTTCCATACTTGGCCAATAACTCTTCTCGTTTTTTCTCCCACCTTCGCCATTCTCCTGCGCTATTTCCGGTACTAGTATAATCTACCGGCGGACTGTCTCCGCTGATCCACGGGTAGCCAGGTGTCTGATAGCTGTACAAATATTCATCTCCTGTCCTCCAAGTCCTGCTGAGTCCCAAGGACGAAGAATTAGCCGTACTGCCCGAAGATAGCGTCCTTCCGCGTCGTTCGAACGGACGATTACGGTTGTAGTTGTAAAATGAGCCGCGGCGGAAATGATGTGTAGGTAGAGTTTCGGCAAGGAGAAGAGGGGTGCGTTCCTCGTCATGGCGTCGACGGGGTAAGCAACATCGGCATAAGCAGCAGCACATACAGAGAGTTAACACAAAGAGTATGATTCCGGCCATGGCGGAAGAGAAGGCTATCAGAGCTTGTTTGTGGGTCACTATACAATTCATCAAAAGGAATGTGTCAGTTTTACCATAGATAGATCATTGCAAATATTCTGTTGATTCGACAACACACCAAAACATTGTCCAAATTGATATTCCCATTTGTCTTCCGCGCATGAACTATGCTTGCCAAGCGGACCCTTCCATCCTGCTTGCACGCATTTGTTATCCTATGATGATAGTATGGGGGATCGATGGGAATGGGA